AGAGTCTTAATATGGTCACAGTTAACTAACAACAGTAGATCATACAGTATCTGTGGGAAAACGTTCTGGGTAAATTATTTAGGTTAACAAAATAAATAATTTTACAATACATACTTATTTTCTTACCTTACGGGCAGTGGTATCTGAGTCGTATTCCTTTCTTCCGTCTGGATGCTGTATCCAGAAATGATATTCATTCAGAGCATAAAGCTGCACACTCTCGTCTCCATGTGAGACCCTGTGCATCTGCTCAGTCCGCCTGCCAGCCAGAGCCTGCTCTAGCGCTTATAGATGACTGGGAGGAGCTGAGCGTCACAGAGGTGAGATGTGCTGGGCGGTGCAGGTGCTGGGAAATGTACATGCCCGGAGGAGTTGTGTGTATTTGAATGCGATAAATACAGTATTGCTGTCATATACAGTATATGCACTATACTGTATATGACAGCAATACTCCTTGTCATTGAGGGGCAGAGGTTGGACATCTGAAGAGACTCAGACTTCTTCTTTTGCATCCGGTAAATAACTGAGGTTGTTGAGGAATATCATTGCTCATCTCGGATCAACCTTCCAGTTGTCAAGCACCAAACCTCCTCAGTGCAGACGGATGATACTTGACTTGAAAAGAAATAGCTGGAAGGGAAGAAACAACAAGGTGACTCATGTGGTTGCCACACAAACGGTTCATTGCTCTGAGTGCTCTCAGAGAAAAAATCCTTTAATCTAAATTGCTAAATTAGCACAAACACTGTGGGGATTCTCACCTTAGAGAGCAGTGAGGGGGAGGAAATACACTGTCAGCTACAGATTGTGGAAAGTTTGGTGGACTTTAGAAATAGAGCCTTCAGCGTGTCTCGAACTTTGTAATGGCTGCCCAACTAAATTATGATAGTTTGGTTGAAAGCAATACAAAAAAAAGTGTTTTTGTGTGTCAAATTAAGTACAAGCAAAATCAATAGGAAGCTCTCTTCTCAACATTCTCCCAGTAACTTTCCCCATGCATATTTTAGGCTCGTGGTTGGTTTGATTAATTAGGCTTGAACATGAATAAGTATAATTAATCACTGGCGGATAATGAGACAATGGGCCTCAGGGCACAGACATGCAAAATGCCCCACCACCTCTCCTACAGGAGCAAGACGAACAGACTTTAGAGTGGTCTGTCCTCTTTTTGTTGTCGTTTTGTGACTCCTTTGTAATTGTTCTGGTTCTTTTGTACTTCTTTTTTTAGTCATTTTTGTATCTCTTTGTTGTCGTTTTGTGTCACTTTGTAGTAGTTTTGTGTGTCTTTGTAGTCATCAGGCTACAGCGATACTAAACAGGCCTAAGCGCCTACAGCTGCATCAGCAGCTCTCTGACGCTGTGCAAGCTAAATGCTAACATCAGCATGTTAACATCCTCAAAATGCTAACATGCTGATGTTTATAGGAAGTAATGTTCACCATGTTCACCATCTTTTTGCTCTTTTTCTTCCATGGCTGCCTGCACTCATTCCTCCAGGCTACATTTCTGATTAACCTTCGGTTAAAAAATGCTGATGTCTCATATATCGCAACCCATTAACACACACATTTCACCTGTCTGACCTCAGCGGTGGTTAGGGTTAAGGTTATATGACGATAACCAGATTTTCAGTCAAGCGTGACATTAGCATTTCCCTGCAGATAACAGACAACTTTCCTCAAATAATGATTCGGGTTGAATCCCATGCCATTCAATAATCTACAAAAATCATGTCTGAGTGCAAGTCTAATTCATGAGAGGACATGTGTTCTGTCTGCTCTTCATCTTAACCTTCTGTCAGCAAGAAGAGAGACACAAAGACTGAATGAATTCCAAAACTCTCAGGAGGATATCAGGGGATTTCAAAACACGCATAATTAGCATTCTCTCCGTCTGGTTACTGCGAAAAACTTTCACAGCAGCGTTTGAAAAAGTCATCGCTAAGCTACTGTCAATGCACAGAAATGAAAAGGAATTCATCACTCGGCTGCTGATGGACAAAAATAACAACATATATTAGCCTTTCAGTGGCATCTGGTGAGATACTTCTGAGATAAAAGACAGCAGTTTTGCTCCGCTTGTCAAAAACTTGAACCGTGTGCAGACAGCTATTGTCTGCTCCTTTAATAAAGGGGGAATGGAAATGATTGGTATTGTATCACAGCTTATAAACTATAGCCAATAGCAGAAAACATCTAGAACTTGGTGTACGCGAAACAGAAAGTACATACAGTATCTGTCGAGCAAAAATGTGTTTTGCAAATGAATGCATTTGCACAAAGGGCCTAATTGGCTACATTGACGCAAGCACTGCTGCCTCACTCGCCTCCACATTTTATTTTTTTATGGAGACCCCAGAAACAGTAAAAACAATGAAAATAATGACCTCAACACAACTTCAGAGTTTAAATAGAATGATAATTACAGGCTTCGTGACTTCACAGATTTATTGCAGTGTGGTTTTCTGCTCTGTTTACCTCAAAGATACCACACCTCGTAATTGTAACACAATTTTCACACTCCATTTGCTTTGCTTTATTTGGACTGCACATGTATACATATGGCAATGATATTTATGTTTTACTTTCACACACTGCAATCATGCGTGAAAAGTCATCATCCTGCCGTCAAACATCCGTCCTGCAACACCTTTCTTTTCACGCTCTGCTCCTTGCATGAGAGTTAGAACAGAGCGTTATTAATATAGAGATGTCGTGAAGAATAAGTGTCAGGCAGCAACCAAATGAGCTCATGAATATAGACTGGATGTATTAAGTGCGACAGTGCTAATAACAAATCTGCGATTGCTTCGGCTGCAAGAGAAAGATATTTTATCTATAAAAAGAGAAATCTGACATGTTCTTGTGGAACACCCAGAGGGAAAACACACTAATTGCTCCCTGCGACTTAGAAATAACACAATTTGCAGAGTTAGACAATCGAGGTTATGAACCTTGGAGACCGTGTCATGGGAGGGGATGTACAGGCCGGGTGTGTGTGTGTGAGTGAGTGTGTCACGAGCCAGTCAGTTTATTAGGAGTGTTCAAGCCGTGACAGGAATCTTTTTTTTTTTACCTCTGGCATAAATTGGTTGTTTCTTCAAACTTACTTAGTTTTCACATCTTCAAATCAGTAGTAGCCTATCCTTTTTTACATTCACCAAGACAATCAGCTAATCACCACAGAAAAGGAACAAAACAAGCACTCCTGCCTGGAAAGGAACCGCCCTCCAGCCCGCAGGTGCAATCACTCCACCTTAACAGCAGCAAGATACATGTGGTTTCTTTTAACTCCAGCCATGTTTTGTGCAAATTGAGCAAAATGTCTTTTTCTGAAATATGTTAATAAATGCAAAAGAGGCATTGTTTTATCAAATACGGGCTTGCATGCTTGCATTACTGGAACAGAAATATTGATAAAGCCAGGTTTAAAATTCTTGTTTTATTTGTTGATAGTCTTTTTTTCCCCACTGAGGGAATTTTCTTTGTATCACTCAATAAATCAGAAAATATGAACAATATATAAACCTTTTGAATATAGATAGAAATAAAGTAAGGTGGTTTGGTGTGTGTCTGCACCACTGGAGTGGAGGTTTATGGCTAATTTTGAGAAAATGGCCTTTGAGAGGTATGCATTGTATAACATACAGTTATTCTGGCTGATTAGACCTCTAATCAAGTTGAAGGTGGGCCGGAGCATTGATGAGAACCCATTAGGTCATAAATCTTCATCTACCAATAAGAAGGATAGAGCTGTGATGTGTCCCGCCCTAACAGGTTCAACAAAGCTAATGAAAGATTCCACTCATCCGTCTCTGCACACCCACACAGCCCCGAGCAGAGGTCCAATCAGACAGATTAACTCAAACACAATGTCTGTTGAGATGTTTGATGTGACGTTAATCATTTGATGCTCTCGTTGCAGAGCTTAAACCACACAAATACCAACCGTGAAACCTCTGACAATAAATGCAAACATTCTAATAAGGCTCCATTTATACGGAACAACTTTTAGGGTTGCCAGGTTGTGAAGAATCGCTACCCCCCTTACCTGGGCCAAGATCCTTTAATGAACAACTTATTTACATTAACAGCTGCAGTCTTGTAGCTGACTTGCTACATTTTATAAACTTTATCGCTGATTAGAAAGCAACTGTTTATGGGATGCCATCCTTTATAAATGCATCATTAGGAAAGGACAAAGGGCACCAAACAAAACCCAAAAGTTCTTAATGTTGATAACAGATAAATGATTTACCAACTAAGAAAATCCATTAGTTACAACTTCTGACGCATTTATAAAGGGTGACTTTATAGATTGGCGAGTGGTACAGCTAGCGTAGACAAGCAGACATTGCTGCTTCTGTGATTTTGTGGACAGAAGAGAAGTTATAACACAGTTTTGTATGAAACCAATGCACACATTTGCACAGTGCATTTAAGATGCATCTACTTTTGTTTATTGGATTTAATACACTTGTCAGAACCTTCTACTGTTGTGTGATGAACGGATGCAGAGGTTCAGGATGTTTTTATGCGAGGTAATCCCCTCCTGAGCTTCGACTCACACCATCACGCATCTTCAGTCACTCGGGAAACACGTAAAATCCAGCGACATTAACCTGAGTGGATGTCAGGGGGAAAAAAACATTGATGTTCTCTCCCACACCAGATGAGCCAATACATCCTTCCCCCCTCCTCCTCTTGGCATTGACAAGAACACAGTGACTCTCAGTAATGAGCCAATTAGTCTCATTACAAGTCGACATAAGTCCTGTGATCGTGGAAACTATGCGGCCATCCCTTCTCATCTTTGCTGTGAGACTGAGCACGGCTTAGCTCGGAGCTTGAATCCAACCCAGTTCATCCCCCTAAAAAAAAAAACAAAAAAAAAAAAAAACAACTATTCAGATCCTCTATGAAGCTCCATTTGAAAAACCATCCTTTGGGAGATGCATGGTACAAAACTCTTATGACTACAAAGAAGAACACAACCACATATTTAAGAATCATTTGAACGTTTATTGTGCTCATTCAAAACACTACTCAATAAAAAGACAGACAGCTGCTTCTTCTTTCAGAGTCACCGATTGTTATTGAGCACATACGATGGTTTGTATAAAATTGGTTCAAAAATATTATGTTAATTGTGGAATCAGAAACAGGAAGTCAAAAAGTCAAGATATACAGATCATACAACAGAGTGGAAGACCGTGTGGTTTGGGATTTTTGGTTTAAAGCAACTGTAACAGTCTAGTGCTTCACATCTTGATCATTGATGCGATTGTGAACGCGATAGTTAAAAGCTCTTATTTGCTCTACAAATCAGATCAGAAGCAGCGCCGATTGTGCGCGTTCCATTTCTTCAGTATTTCAAGCGATTGAGATTTATTACACATTCACATTATGCAATAATATCCTAAATCAGTTCAAGTTATAGTGTGTACTTCAATAAGCAACAGAAGCACGATCAAGCAATATGCATAAGGAAATTTAAGACATCACATTGTCACTAAATGGAATTTAGATTGCGATACATGACTCGGCAAAAAATGTGGATTTTAAAGTGAAGCCATTTTTACTTTTACCCTTTAAGCAGAAGCTCTTCCAGGACTGGAAGTCACAACAATGCATTGCCTCACAGTGATTATTGATTTGCATAAAATAAAAACACACACACTACACATAAATTAAAAACAAAAATGTATTTAAATATGATCACATTTTAAGAGGAAATCTTATCTCAATAGGCTTTTTAGGGTCGAGTTCACAGTCCGGTGTGTGAGAACATTACAGGCAGTTTTTACCCCAACTTCAGTATGTAGAGCATAAAAAAAAAAAATCATCATTTTTTGTTTTTGGGATGAAAAATATAATTCTGGTGGAATTACCCTTTAAAACACGGCAAAAAAAAAAAAGAAAATAAAAAAATCATACAATCAACATAACCATTTCATACTGACAAACAAAAATACAATATCTTAAGTGTCACCGAGCAAAAAGGAACTCAAAGGAAAGATTCAGAGATCCTATGCAGTGCAAAAAAAAAAAAAATTTAAATCAGTGTTTGATCACAAATAATTGCACAACAGATGTTTAATATATAATGCCTGGCACCTACAGAAACATAAGAGGTAGAGCTACGTACATCTACACCTCCCTAAAGCAGGGAGAAGTCAGCCGAGTGGATACAGACCACAGAAAGAATATCTTCAAATTTGCACAAATGGGTAATTTATACGGTAAAGCCATACTTTAGGTTCAAACAACAAATTCATCTGCCGAGAGTTTAAATATAATAAATATAGAAAGGGGGGGGGGGATTCCACTCTGTATGGTGTTCACCCATTCACTTCCTCCACCACTGAAACCATTGGATGTGTTTTATGAATATGCATCCTCAGCTGGACGCTTGATAAATAATTGATATGCCCATAAATACAAAATTAATGTCCGCTCATGCATGTGCACAGATGACCTTCTGTAGCCCTTTTTGTTTGCTACAAGTAACAGAGGATGTGTATCCCCTTCGCTCACCTCCACATGTAGGTACCTCGACACCGTTTTACTCTTTAGAGTCCAGGAGTTATGATTTCAACTTCACAAGGAACATTTAAAATAGCTACACTACTTTATAAAAACAGTACTATAAGAAGAGAGGCTAGTTTTGTTTGGTGTTATTTGGAATAAATTGATAAAAATAAAATGTTATTGGCATACACATTCATAAGATATTAATGTCCCATAAAAACTGCATGACCTCGAGTAGCCATTTTGTTTTCTGCTGGAACTCAAGAGGATGAAGAATGCAACCGTAGCCTGTGTCAGCCCTCATTGAAACTCAGTACCGCCAGTGTTTCAATTTTAAGACAAATACTTCCAGCCCTTTTGATTTAAATCCGCACACAGGGAATAATAATAATATATATTGTTTCAAACACAATGTGGTACTATAGTACAAAAAAAAGGATGTTTGCCATCTTGTGCTGGTTCTGCTGCTTCTTTGGTTATTTCATTCACAGATCTGTTTCGGAGCTCTTCCTCCAGAAGAAAGTGTTTTCTTCAGAGTCCCTGCCTATTCGAATCTGAGGCGAACCTTTTGTGTATGAACCTCTTTCAAGACTGGAAGAGGAAGACAGAGAGTACTATAATTGTGGCGCTGTATGAGAACAAAAATCAAACAACATGAATTACGAAGCACTTTGCCTTCACAGAAAGTATAGGAAGCGAACCGCCAGCCTGTACTCACTCACTCGGCCACTGTGGGAGACTCAAAGTAGTGCTCAGCACGACGAATGCGGGTTAAGGAGAGTCTGGGATGGATCTCCTGGGGGGGGGGGGAGGGAAAGTAAAGAACTTAAAATATATACTTCACAAACACTGAAATGTCCAATGGGTTAGCAAAGGAAGAGAAGGCAAGTGCTGCAAAGCTGCTTTTAGTAATAGATATTTTTCAAACTGGCAGGTTCGAACAGCGTTAACAGATCAATATGCTTTTTTTTGACTGTTCTTTAAGGTATTACATTTGTTAGCACATGCAAGAAGGCTATAGTTTGAAAGGACAAAATCTGCACATGACGCCTTTAGAAGCAAAGCAATCCCTGGCTTGTACTCACTATGCATAGATTTATCACCCAACATGGGCTGCTGCTCCATCATCTCCATAGAGATTTTTATACTGGGTATATTTTCACTGTAGGGGTAGTCAGACTGCGGGAGGACGGAGGGAGACCATTAACACTTCTGGACTTTAAAAGGTGAGGAACTACAGGTGACTGTAGACGACCACATGACAACAATGGATTTTGGTATCCACATTTAAATATTACTTACAAATTCGATTTCGCTGTCTATGCTCCCTTTCTTCTTGCTTTTCTTTTTCTTCTCATCCTCTTTCTTCTTCTTGTCTTTCTCCGGGATGACGTCGTCCAGGTAGCTGAGGTCGTGCTGGGAGAACACGTAGTCCATCGCCTTACGGACGGCAACCAACGCCAGGATCTGCGGACAGAGAAATAATGTGATTGGCTCTCACGGCCGGATCGAGCGCTGTGTAATTGCGCTCGGCTACACATCACCGATTGCAGCCATTCCTCACCATGATGGGGAAGACTATGGCCGCCACGGTAGACTTGAGGACCCAGAGGAGGGCCAAACACAGGCCCTGGATGAAGGTGAAGAGGTGGATGCGTCTCTGGGGGACGTGCCGCAGGTAGATCAGGTCCGGCTGGTGCTTGGCGGGCATCAGGAGCAGCTGCAGCCGGTCCATGAACTGACGCAAAGCAAAAACACACAAACAGGTCGGTCAGGTCACGAGAATGGACAAGCTGCAGTCAGATGTTAATATTTGCATAGTATATGCCAGACGCATCTTCTGTTTTACATGAGCTCATTAATTTAATTTGAGTGAATGACAAGCTTCGACAGACTTTAATGGATATCATTTGATTTGTTCAGTAACAACTTATTAATGCGTCACAATGTAGTAGTTACTTTTTCCAGAAAAAGCATTGCAATTTTCAAATTCAGTGATTACAGCACAATACAAAAGAGGACAAACACGCTAGCTAAATCATATTTACATGTTGTGCCTTAGCTGCTAGCTAGCCACCGTTAGCTTTGCTTGCATTTGATTGGTTAGCCTACATTCATGTAGCTTTGGTTCAGAAATGGAGGCGTGGTGCTTGCTGTCTCTGGTGCTGAGCGAACGCTGACTGAGTAAATACTTCCCAGCCATAGGGGGGCTGCTGGTTGAACCTGTTCTTGTAGTTTGTTAAGAAATGCAATCACCCTTTCAATTGGTGAAATGTAATGGGTCGCGGCTAACACTGGTTAGCAGGTCAGACTCACTCACCTGGACACCGTTGAGTGACGCAACCCCCATGTAGAGGAACACGCCGTAGAGCACCGGCATGGGAATGAACTGAGGAACACGGAGCACAGTGAAACAAGTTGTTAATATGGAAGATGTGACTGTCTCTAGTTAGGTGAAATACATTCTGAAGACATGAAAAGTTTAAAGAGAGATGCTAAAGATGTTACAGGTAATGAGTGTGTATTGTTAGCATCCTTGCTTGGTTTGAAAATAGCCCACAAGCAGCTTTTCTTAGGTTATTTTTGGTAGTGTGACAAGGCACTTAGCTGCCCATTAGTGCAGGTTTGGCAACTACTTGCACAGTATTACCCATAGAGCTTTAAAGCAGTAAGCTAATACAGAAATGTGCCAGGCAAACCAGAAGTAGATTCAGCATGACAGATGAAAAGACATTAGAAACAGCACATGTCCCAATTTATACGAAAACATCTTTCCCAAATTCCCTTTAGTACAATAGATAACTCTGGAAAAGGAAAATGTATTCACAGGATCACAAGTACAATATCCACAATGTCCACAAGAGGGAGGACCAGCCCCAACAATCAGTAACTTCACTCTTTTCTTTTGTTTGGCACTTTCATGTGGGAATGGAAACTTGAGAAGGCATTCAGCTGCAAACTGAGCTTAAGCCCGGATGAGCATGCTTATTTCACATCAAATTACTTCAACTGAGGGAGTTCCTAATGGGATGAATAAAAGACTTGAAATTATTATAAATCTAAGAGTGACTTTGTCCTAAAAGAGGCGGACAGTAATCCTTGTTTTCATGGAAGAATTAAGAACTTGGAGCACTACCTTGAGGATAGGGGCCATGAAGACAGAGATTCCCGTCAGGAGGAACACAACGATACCGGTGACTCTTTGCTCTCTGGATAAAAAAAAAAAAAGAAGGAGGAAAACACTCAATTAAATCAGTAAACCTTGCAAGCACGAAACCATAAAAGGCAGTAGAGCTGAACCAGTGAAAAGCAGTTCATACCATGTTTCTATAATGACAGTTAATCCAAAAAGTTCTGTTGAAAGTTTATATCACAATTAAACACATCACATGACTACCTTGATGATGTAATACATAATCTTTCAAAGACTTGCAAAAACCGTCATGTTACCAGATAACACTCTAAAAGTACAATTGATGTGCACTTGCGCCCCTCCCCCCCTTTTTCTACCCTTGTTTTTGTCCTCTCCTTCCTGACTGATTAAGTGTGATTGATATTTCTGCCCCCCCCTCCCCTTCTTTTATTGTTGGAAAATAATCATGAGTACAGTAGGAGGAAATTAGGCTTGTCCACATTTACAAATGTATTCGGGAAAACTGTGCACGACTCAATTTTGTCTTCTGTGTGCATATAAACTTCTGCTATGGATTGTAACGCAGCATTACGGCCCATTGTCTTACAATCTCTCAGCCTTCCTGCTAGGATGCTTTTTCACTCGGGAATCCAAAATAAATGAAGTACCTGTCACTGGCGAAAGCAGACAATACAATAGAGTTATTCAACGACATCAACACCGTCTCCAGCAGCTGCGTTAACTCACCTGACACCCAGGAATTTGGGCATCTCCCCAGGGGCTGACGTCTGGGTCTCCATTTTCAGAGAGTCGATGTGGGCGATGGAGATGACAGTGGCAGCCACGTACCACGGCAGTCCCATGAAAGAGCAGATAATCATCATGACGGCTACCCAGAACAGATCCAAGTGGTACCCTGCACCTTTCTGAGAGGAGAGAGAGCACAAGAATGAGATTATCACAGTGATTTTTTGCAAGTCAAAACTCAAGTGTCTTATTAATGAGCGTTCGTCTTCGGCCGCATGCCATACAGTCTGCTTAGAACTCTGATATTAAAGGAATTCAAACCATGTGCTGTATTATCACTCCTATATCCATAAGTATAGATATCAGCATTGATTAGTTGTTTGGTGTATGATCACTTTAAAACAGGCTGCTGCAATGCAATATGAGAAAACATATCCGAAAAAAACAGATGGAGACACATGTTACTCAGGGTTAACGGGGAAATAATGTTATGAGGCAAGCAATAGTTACTGTAACCTAATTTCCAATATGAGTTAAGGGCACTAATCTCGCTAATTTACGACAGTTTATAATCTACACTAATTTAACACATCCCTCTAGCCTCTCCACCACCCCTAAGGACACTGAGGTCATGTCACTCGTGTGGAGTTTTAATGAGCTTAACGGGAAGGCGTTTACATTCTACACTATGGGGTCAGTGAGGTGTGGTTCGGTCTCAGCTGCAGGGGAGAGATGGGTGGGAGTGGCTCGTGGTAGTAGTGCCAAGGGTCTAAATCAGCACAGGTGTTATCTGTTGGCTCATTACACCCTTCTTATGGCGTAGCATTGCTGCACCTGAGACAGAGGACAACGTCGGTCGTCCTCTCTCGGATAATTGTACTTTGAGTTTGTCTTATTTGAGAAACTGGACTCTATGCCCTCCGGAGCCACCGGGCAAGGTAGCGAAGGAGCAAAGAGTAACGAGATTGTTTATGTTGTGAAAGCGCGCGCGCGTAATACAGCATAAATTACTCCATTTGACTGTTTTAATGAAGGATTTTACATTACCCAGCAGACATTCTCCATCATTTCAAAGTCTCAACAGCATTTAGACAGTCGTGCATGGAGTTAAAGGAGTTTTCTGCAAACTAACTGTTTTGGAAAAAGAACATTTTGCAATTCTTACACTTCTAAAATCTTGGCTACAACCCTTTATTTTCTGTACAGTTTTACTCTTGAACAATTCATGCATTTTATCCTAGAATTTTCAAACTGAATAAAACTTTGGGGTGGCGCACCAACCTTGAGTTTGTGCTCCTTCCTGTTGACAATCACGGCAGTGATCTGCTGGTCCATAAATATCAGAATGGTGACCAGCAGAGCGGGGAGCGTGGCTGCCAGGTACACCCACCAAGGGTTCCCTCCAAAGGGAGGAATAAACCAGCCCCTCAGTGGACTCGTGGGCTAGACGAGAAAATGAAGAACGGGACTGTTAAAGTGACGGAGACACCCGACTAGTGTGTCTTCATAGTGAACACAGTCTTAAACATGGGTAACATCTTAAATAGAACAGAAGAAAAAAAAAATAAAAATAAAAAAACCACTAATTCCTGGTGATTACTCCATTCCACTTTCAGAGTCATCACTGAAGTGAGCAAAGAGATGACTGGTGCATTGTTGCATGACAGAAATCTGTGTATCAAGACTCTGTGGTTAAACAAAGCTGGCTTTGTACTTGCAACCATACGATCGCCTGTGTTCTCACATCACCTATAATCAAGTTGTTATTTGACTCAGCTGCCCGCTCGTCTACCCCATCATTCCCTTCCTCCGTGTCAAGGCGGGGTGGTCTTAACGCCAACTGAGGAACATTTGAGCACTGCAATATCAGAGACTAAATGTGCCTTAGTTTCATGTATCGCTTAATGGGCAAACTACAAAGACAGCATTATATTAGGATTTTACAGACTTTCAGAGGCTCTCGAGCAGACACGTGGTTCATCATCTGTGTTACTGCACATGGCTGAAAATAATTCAGTTATTATCCCAAACACAAAATGATACGATGGCCATTTGTTTTTATGTAAATGGACGTTACTTTTCTATTAGTAAGTACTTCCTCCATGTGTAGCATGTACCTTGAATTCACTTGGCACAATGAGCTTCGGAGTGTTCACTCCGACAAAGGCGTCCACGCCGCAGAAGAGCAAGATGGTCAGGATGATCGCAAAGTCACTGATGAGCTTCCTCACCTAGAAGGAGGAAACATTTACAGCAAGTTTGACATTTTTTCAGTATGAACTAGCAGCTCAAGTGTTTTTTTTGTGACCTACATCCTGTTAAACTACATGTTTGAAGATAAACACCAACTTGCTGAGTGTGTGCAGCGAGTGCAATGACAGTATATCTGTGAGTAAACACACTTGCTCACCAACTGGTGTCTAATCATTTTGAAACCAATCAACCTGAACCGAAAAAAAAATGGAAATGGCTAATTATGCAAATAAACATTTCTGGTAGTCAATACTTCTTCTTGTATGCCTCATGTTTTAAATAATACTTTTCAGTTTTTTTTATTCTTCGTTCACTGTGGAGGCATGCAAGTTTTCTCACAGAATTCAAGGTGGGTAACGCACATAGAAATGGTCATTTTGTGGGTGAAGTCCTCATTTAGGTACAGCTTCACACCGCTAACATGGCCCTCGACTCTTGGTCTAGTTGATCGTCATATATTCTGCTTATTTACCAGACAAGCGCTGTTAAATTTGGATAAAATCTAAATTAAGTAGCAATCATTTACAGATCTGAGCTGGAGTGTCATGCCTTCTTTGCCTCAAACACTGTTAAAAGTGAGAAATCTGACCTTCCCACATTGACTCGCACTGACACTGGAGCTTGTCGACGAAACTGAGATTTAAGCACAGGGCCGAAACTAAAAGAAAGGAAGAAAAAGAAGCTGCTACACATCCACGGATGGGTGGCGTCACTCACTGTGGTGGGGAAGAAGCGGCTCGTCTTGAATTTCTTCAGAGCCATGGAGCAGGTGTAGGTCCCAAAGAACAAGATGAGGGACATCAGGGTGATGTCAGGGATATAGCCACAGGCCTCTCCGACCAGCTGCCCTTTGAACTCCAGACACTGCTGCTTTGTCAGGGTCGCCCAGGTGGCATTCACTGACTGAAGAGATGAGGACAAAGAGGTTCCTTTAAGCAACAATTCATGGAGAGAAAAGGCAAAACATTTTAAATTCTCGAGGCATGCTGCTAAATGTCACCAATTCAAGGAAACAACATACCAGATCAGTACGGTTTGTAAGCATGGCGACATCAGAAAGGTCTGACGAGTTGCCTAGTAAAGAGAAACAATAATCACCAACATGAGAATACTTCCAACACATACAGTATCACACTTGCCATTTTGCACAAGTGTCAACATCTTTCTCCCAAACAATCCCGTCAAGTCAGATTGATAAGTCAACAGTGGTATCTGCAGGCCGACTCACGAGGATCATTTGTTATCTCCACTGTAAACACGGTGGAATGAGCTGAAAACTTTGTTTAACACACGAGAGGAACGTCACTGCCAAATGGGACCAAATACGACTCTTCAGCTTTCACTCTCTGGTATCACTGGTGATACCAAGATTCTGATGGCACCAAACAATGAGGAGTTTCTAGGCGAAGGATGGTTGGAGTGGCGGTATCAGATACAGCCTATGTTACTGGATCCAGTGAAACCCCTCCTGTAATCCATCTTTAACGCTGCAATTTCTCTTAAAACGAGGCCGACGTACCAGGCATGCAGCTGCAGTCGTAGAGGGTGATGAGGTTGGGATCGTAAGCGGAGTTAATCAAGTTGTGGTGGGACAGCTTTATCATCTTCTTGAACGCGTCGTAGATGAAGATGAAGCTGATGAGCGCGGAGAAGCCTTCCTCGGTGAATCGCGTGAAATACTGCACCAGGAAGCTGGCGTCCGTGGCGACCAGCACCAGACAGAATATAGCCGACCACAGGCCGATCCACAGCCGGAACTCAAGGTAGTCCAGCTCGTTGTCTCTGAGGAGGACAGATTTGGCACATGAGGGAGTGGTTAATTGTGTACAAGTGTATCCCTACACCTTCACATTTTATTTCCAAGCAATTATAATTCCTCTGAGAATTCACCGTACTTTCAATCGCCTTCGTCTAACGTGGATTCTGTGAGGTTATGGCTTCATTTAAGTGTTTATTTATTAGTTTTGCTCTAGGGCCCTTCAAAATAAAACGTTGACACTTGCGACCACAGTTGTCAGGCTTTTCTCTATATGGAAACGATGCACCTGTGCTATACGTATCCAACAGCTGTAGACAAGCCAACAGCTGCCACTGACTCAGCAACCGTTGACTTGAGACATGGAAACATTTGGGGGGCACAGAGGCCACAACATTCTTCCCTCACAGTGTAAACTTAAATGAGAGCGAATTATTAATAATGGAACATAATCAGGGTGGAGTTTGGTAATGCTAGAAGACTCTCTCTCTCTCTCTCTCTCTCTCTCTCTCTCTCTCAGTGTGTGTCTGTCAGGGAGGGAAAGAGAAACCACCTTTAATACCCATCAGGTATTGTGAAAATACTTCATTTCAGAATGTCACAGAATAGAATTTCTGTTTTCCCACCCTAAAAACTGCTATTCCAGGAGGTAATGTCTTGAGTACACTTTCTCCCACATCTGTTTTTACAGAAGGGCGTGTGCGTGTGGTTATTCGGGACAGGAAGTAGACGGCAAAAATGCTTAACAATCAGCTGGCAACAGATTTACAGTACGCTCAAAAATGTTCCTGTCAGTCAGAACAATAAAGCAAAGTTGCCATCCTACTGTAAATTTGAATTACGACAATCTATAAATATCTGCCAGAGTACTGCAGTTGTTTCTCCAACTCCGTTTCACCCTTCGCTGATATTCTTTCATTTCAAAAGTGCCTGAATGACTCGGATCGCCAGCTACTCACTTGCTGAAGGTGAAAAGGAGTCTTTCAAACACGAGCACCGGGCCTGTGCTGCTGAGAATGGTGAGGGGCTGACCGGCCAGCAGACAGAACACTGTTCCTGTCAGTGCCGTCCCCAGGAAACTTTCCAACACTCCCTGCACACATGGAAAAAAAAAAAAAAACACATACCGACTTCACACACACAGCTAATGCAGCATGTTTGGCCAAGAAAATAATCAGTAGAGATGAGACAGGGTGTTCATACGCTGAGCATTGCTCCACATTAACAATCGTGGAAAAATACATTGTTCAACAGACGCATTCTTTTCTCAGTATTTAGCTTACGCAGCTGGAAGCTTTGTTTTCCCTGCACACACCACGCATCTGTAAGGCTGGCCCGTCAGGACATGCCTGTTTAATTCTAGTCGTGTCAGCAGTTCGGACTGAAGCGTCATGCTACGTAGACACAGTAGATGGATGGGTAATCGACAAATTGGCTGCATTTCTGAGGACCTGCGCTGAGACAGGTCAAGTTAGGGCAGGGATTCCCTCTGCTGTGCTCAGAGTGGAGAAGTGGGAGTGACACAGGATTTAGGACATGGTGGTGGTGGTGGGGGGGGGGGGGGGGGATTGGAAATGCAGCCATGACGAGGCTACAGCGGCTGAGTAATCTGGATCTGTGGATATTTACAGCCCGGGCAAATCCGTGAGGCCGGTGCAATGCAAGACTGCAAGGCTGCAGCTCCTTGCCACGAGAGCGAGCACAGCCAGGGTCAACCCGATACGCTGAGCTATCAGGGGTGCCGCGATGGATGCAGCAGTTCATGCCTATTATCCAACTCTCCCACATGCAGTCCTGCCAATAGCAGGTACAACAGATGGATGCAGTATGAGCCCTTGAGCTCCAAATCAGCATGGCTTACCAGCTGAAGTGAACTTTTTTTTTAATGTTGTTCATCAGTGTGTGTGTGTGTGTGTGAGAGACTTAACACAGAACTGCTCCGTCATCCCAAAACGGAGTCAATCGCATACCTTTAGGTGTACATAGGATGCATACAGTGCCTTGCTCTTGTGAGCCATTTTCTACTACTGAGGCGCAATTCTGAGCCTTTACTTCAGAATGTGAAAGGATGAAATAACATGCCGCTTCAATTTAACTCAGTACCTCGTCTTTCTTTTTGTCTCAAGTGTTGTGTTAATATTTACACATGAAGTACAGTTTACTCATCCTGAGTACCACTGGCTCTGTGAAAACAGTTACATAATGTCTTCTGTGGTTCGGGTGAGAGCCGTTTCAATTTGAGTTTTAAGTCAACGGGTTTATCTTGGCTTGTGCTTAAGACAGAAAACTTTAAAAATAAAGCTTGTGTAACAATCTGAGGGTGTGGGGTTTGAAAGAAATCCAACATTTAGATGTCAGGGAAGGTCTAATGACAGACACTATCCAGCTGCATTATGGGAAATGTAAGATCGAGTTTGACCTGTACTCGGGACAAAAAGTCAGGATACAAAATTCGGGCAATATTACTCTATTACTTTTTCGATGTCATTGCCAATATTACTTTATTTTTATCACTCTTTTTAGAACCTGTCTTTTGTGAATGCCCCAACTTTATAAAAGGGGAATACTACTTGCTGGAGTACAACCCTTAATTTTTTTATAGGTTATGCCCCATTTGACATTTATATAGAAGCATATTGCCTGCATTTGTCGACAACAGAAGTAAAATTTAAAAAATAAATAAGGGGTCACCTAGACATATCCAGTCAACTACTGTGGTGTTTACGCTCAGTAAGAGTCAGTCCAAACTGGAGTAGTTCTATCTAGGTCAGAGTTCATCTTTTAGGCACCAAGTTAAACGTGTTCAAGGAGAACAGGGGACTTGTTTTGTCTGCAGTGAGGAGCTTCCCTCTGTGCACCACCATATCTCTGCAGACACAGACCTTACTCGTACGTACAACAAAATACCTTACCTGCATGTTTTCTGTAGCGTCACCTAGTAGGCCTCCAAATGTGATCGCATTGGTGACTGTGCCCAGATAGATGAACAAGATTGTAGACAGAGACTGGATATGTAGTGCGTCCCTGAAGTCGCTGGCAAAAAATGGCAGCTTCCTCTTGACATCCAGGACAAGACCTCCACAAAACCTTAAAGTAGAGGGTGAGCCATTCGAGTTAGTAGGTGCAAGATTGTTTCATAGCATAACTTGGTTTACTTCAGCTACAGGCAGTAAATTACACATGTACATGATCGGGGGAAAAAAAAAATTTTTAAAAAAATACTTTAGAAATATCTTGGTCATAGTTTACAAAGAAAGGAAAACCTGTTCCAAATGAAGGAAAAAATAAACTATACCACATGTCATCGAGATTATAATCAGGGAAATGGCCTCATGTACAAGGATCACGTAGTAACCTGACGGTATGAAAATCAGGGCAACGTTCCACTGCGATTATGATTTTGTCTTTACTTAACTATCCACCTTGATTTCATTTGAGTGAAATCCTAATTACTTTCTAGTGCGCTGAAGCTCCTCTCCGACCTCGTGTCCTCCTCCTCCCCCTCCATGTCCCTCATCATGGGGAGTGTCGCCATTCATATGAGGCGCCTCCAATCCGACATACATGTTCTTCCTTTAAAAAAGAAACGGAACAAACAAACAGTCACATTCTGCAAACCTTCAATACACTCAAAGCACTCCGTCTTTCAGTTCACACAACAAAAAATAATGTGGGGTCAAATACTTTTTTTAACAGTATTTAGGGTATTATGTTAATATGTAACTGAAATCGTAATGTAAAACATTTTTCTTTTAGCAGTAGGCTAATGTGCATGTGAATACATGAACGGGCCTTGAACCGGGATCCACAGTAACTCGGTATTGTTTTCTAAGACGGATCGTTTTTTCACGGCCTCATATCACGCATTCGATAGATTTATGTGCAGGGACTTCATTCATTTAGGATCAGGTCTTGGGGATTAGAGCAGACCTCTTGTCTGAGGAGGGCAGAGACTTAGGTGGCTCTATCCTGATGTTGGGGTCCCACTCTCCGGGGGGCAGGACGATGACCTCGTCCAGGAACTCCTCGATACCAGCCAGCAGGTCCTGCCTGTCCTTCGCTTTATAGGCAATATCATGGAACACCTGTCAGCAACAAAACACAACCAACCCGTTAGCGATCAGCCAATCCAAAAAACAAAGTGCAACTACGATGGCTCACTGAAGAACACCGCTTACTCGCTTTTGATTACTGGGACAGAGTGCAGCGTGTCATTGAAATGCAAATATAACATTGACAACTACTAAGAACTCTTTCACAGTAAGAATTAGTCATAGTCCGTGTGCACCCCGGGGCCACATTGGACAAGGAGGTAGAGAGTACAACAGGGCTGACGACTCCAAAACATCTGATAAGCTTGTGACACCGCCGTCACGGGGGAGAGAGAGGGTAAAGTTTAACTTGAGGAAATCCTGGAAAAAACACTTCCTATTCTGCCGCGTCGACATGTGAGATATGCTGGGAAGAGAGGAGGCCTGTGGGAATTTGCGGGCAAGGTGCTCTCAGGGTTAAGAACGTCATGAGTTGTCTGTTAACATTGCTGACAACATGGAGGGGTTAAGTCGGGAGACACGAAGCAGACAGAGCTCGGCACATTTTGGAAAAGCATGTATTCTATGTGTTTTATTGCGCTTATTCTGCAGACACCAAAACAAATTGGTCTGCCACAACTTCAACGCACGGTTTAATAATAGAAGTAGTTCGAAAACTATTGGATGTCATGAAATTTGGTGGAGACATTCATGTTCCACACATGTTCTGATCTAACCAAATGTTTTAATTTGTATAAAGAGTGAATGTTGACAGTAGAAGTACAGTGAGAAATGTCAAGTTTGCATTGTAGTAAAGTACCTCATCTGACATCAGGGTGGCAATGGCTCTTCCAATTTCATGATAGGACTTGGCTTTACCTTTGGGGCCCAGCAGGACAAAGAGAAATCTAAGCAACAAGTAAACGGGGTGTTAGGGCAGTCAACATTATTCGGTCATGACGTCAATGAAATGTGCGGCTGTCGTGTGTTCTACCTTGTGGGCACGGGGACCTCGGTCAGAGACCCCAGCATGACGGCCTGCTGCAGACGAACAAACGCCACAAAGGGAGTTTCCAGGAAGTCTACCTCTCCAATCAGCACGTTTGAGGCCTCTGCATCGCGGGGCAGTTTTTTCATGAACTTATTCTTCAGCTGGACAACAGAGAGAGCAGGGCAGATAAAGGAAAGAAAGAAAAAAAGTCAGCGAACAAGAGGGCGTTGTGACAAAGAACGCAGGTTATTCGTGGCAAGGTACGGACATGAGTGTTCACACGAACACTCCCTCCATCTGTCACATGCAGTACAATCAAAGACGGACGTGGCACTTTAAATAATTCTGGTGATTAAAAAGCGATTGTAACAAGACCGGCGTTGTGATTTTACTGGTACAGGTAATGTCCGCCCTTTCCTAGAATTATGTGCTGCATGGCAGCTTGACTTTATGCCACCTAATGAACAGTGTAGGAAATTGTACACAGTGTTACACAAAACTGACATGCAAAGTACACAAAGAACATACACAGTAAGTTGAGGATGAAAGAAAAACTGTTGCAGGAAAGTGATTAACTGCAGCCTTGGTGTTGTGGCAAATGTGGACATGTTCACTGTTGCTGGAATCCAGCTGTTAAAGTTCAACTGGGCCTTTTGTGCATGTGCATCTACAGACCACACAGCCAAATCATTACTCGATCGTGAGTCATGGCAGTGAGAGAAACTGCATGTGCGGACAACAGAAACTCACAGGACACAAAGAGGGGAGACAGTGGGCTGTTGTTGCACAGAGCGGACAGAGAGCCAGCGGTCTTATCTATCAGAATGTGAGGCTCACAAGCTCATGCACACACACACACTCACACACAGAGCCCAAACACATGACCCTGCATAGTGCTGCTTTGTGAATGGAGACCTTAAGTAGCATCTATTATTGTTGCACATCTCAGCGCAACAATACAAAAAAAGAGACAAACAGATTACCTGATCCTTCTCTGGTTTGTCAGAGAAGTCACTCAGGCTGTTGGAGGTGAGGTTTCTGTGGGCAGTAGTGGGGCTACCTGCAGAGAGGTGAGACACCGTTTGGGATCAAAACAAATTTAAAAAAAAAAAAAGAGGCCGGGCGAGACTGCACAGCTTTTCACAGGAGATATTTTTGGCAGAGGAAGAAGACGAGTCCCAGAAAAAAAGAAAAAAGAAAAAAGAAAAAAAAAAAAAAGGCACAGGGAAAGTACATGAAGAGAGCCAGAAAAGTCAGGACCTATCTAAAAGCGGCGACGCTTAAGCTTTAGGACTAATGCCAGATGGTCATTCATTCAGGCGCTCCAGGGAGAGCAGGGCCGCCTGCTTCTGCGCATCAGCAGCAACGAGCTTAGGCAACTATTGGCAAATGAGTGAGAATGTACACTTTGGAACTCCGCCTGACACGGTCCACTTACCGACGACGTAAGAGAAAAGAGTCGACGGCATTTTAGCTTTTTCTTGCTAAATAAATATTTAGTTAAGTACATTGTGAGTCAATGAGTGGGGCGATTCCATCTCCGTGCGTCTCTATACCGATTTGCTGAAGTTTGTCACACTGAATGAACACACATCCAGCTTCATGCACTGAAGGAGAGCTCAGCTGGGAATCTCTAGTTTTTACATGTTGCTTTCAGCGCGAGCGCCGTGACCTCACTTACAGAGGTATCCCATGCTGGAGCTCCTCGTGACCTCACATGGGCCCTCTGGGTGTTGGGGGTTTAAACGAGACACAGGGTGCTCAGCGGGGTTGCGTGCTATATTACCCCAGAAGCAGGAAGTCGGAGACAGCACAGTCCCAAAGAGGAGGAAAAAAAAAGGAAAGGAAAACAAGGTTGGGAAGGAAAAGCAGAGAAAAGACAAGAAGGAAAAGATTAGGAAAAGAAATATCTACAACAGCAGTTAGTGTAAGATTTCACATCAGAAATGAGAAAGAGAATTGATTGGGTTAAGACGGATAAGAAAACAGGGCAGGGGGTGCATTACCATTCTCCTGGTGGTTAAACAGCCTACTCGCACTGGAAACACTCTTGCCGATGTCAGCGAGGGAGCGCAGGTTGGACTTCTTGGTCTGGTGGCGATGCTTCCGCAGCAGCGTGTACGTGACCTTCTCCTTCAGATCCGCCTTCAACTGACCCGCCTCGGTGATCAGCTCTGTTAGAGTGGACATGTTGAGGATCAACATGAGGTCACCCTCAGATTCCTCAACATATATTTATCATTCTGGTCAACCCTCACTTACCGACAACCTGCGGCAGCGTGGAGGCCTCCAGGTCCAGCATGATGGTGCCCTTCTCGATGCACATTTTGAGCTCCATCAAGCTGTGCAAGGACAGTGTGGCCACATGGGGCTTACTCCAGCGCTCTCCGCCCTCCTCCACCTTCTCCTCAAACTTGATCCATCTGAACAGTGGAGGACGAGGAAAAAAAAAAAGAAAAAAAAAACAAAAAAAAAAAAGACAGAAGTGTTGAGATGTATTCACAGTAGTGGGCTTGCACTGCGGTGTTAGACCTCGCCAGGTGTTCCAATACAACCCATAATACACCAAACTGAAAGTAAAGGTCACTGCACATCATAAATAAATTAAAAAAAGTACACAACTGTGACTTTGTTTATGAACCAGTATGGGTGACAAACAGATAGGAGACAAGTTGGGCTCTCTTTTCTTTACTAAACAACCCCACCGTGTTTTGAATTGGTCACACAAGAATAGGAGACGCAGCACAGCATAGAAATACTAAATAAATCACAAGACTTGAGAAAATACATGGCATGCTGGGATGGTGACAGACATTTGTACCCCACATGACTAAATGTGAGACTTTAAAATGACTTAGAATGAGCTTAGCCTCGAGGGTAGGACTAAGGACAAGGATTCTTTTTAATAATGATGCCTCACATGTCAGCACTACAAAAGAGTCTCCTGAGGCCTGAGGATGGGGTTTCCTCTGGGGATAGAGTATCCCTCTGGCTTTAGTCTGCACGCTTTAAACCAGACATCTTACCAGGAAAGGAGCCCGGCCACGGAGAACCGTCGACCCCAAGGACTTCATTTATCTTCCCTTTCATGCAACCCCTGCTTTCCTTTCCCAAAAATATTGCACGATTGAGCCTTTCTGCAGCATTACTGTGTATTCCTCAGATCCAAAAAAGAACCATGTGAATTCACAGGACTATGTTGAAGCATTAGAATAAGGAAAACAATTAACAGTATCCACTTTTCAATGCCAAAATGTCATGAGCTCCAGAGCCAACTGTAACATTACGTCTTGTTCTGGCCATGTGGGAGTTTCTGCCTTTCCCTGGTCTCATAGGGGCAGGTACTACAGATCTCATTCAGATAACAGCAGACTGGGAGTTCACTGGAGTTCGGCCTATTTCCCTACACATACAAAACACGATTGTTCATAAGCGATTGTGAAGCAGGATATTTGTGACTACACTGCCCGTGGCTGTAAATTTTGGGGTTGACAGGAGCCACGGCTGGCTTAGAAGACATTTTGACTCAGCGGCTCACCTGGCCGTCTCCTTCCACTCCATCTCCTGCCCGTCCACGGCCAGTAGTTCGTCCAGCTCGGTGAAGAGCTGAGGCGGCGGGGGACCGTCGTCCTCCTCTCCCAGGATAAACCTGATCCTCTCGGCTGGAGAAACTGCGGGGGGGAGGAGGAGAGTTAGGAACCGGCAAACAGGTCCATCCTGACTTTTTTTGATGTCCAAGAAACCCAAACTATCGCCACAGATTCCAGCCCCTCAAGGCATGATTCAAAATGATGTAGCAAGTATCAAGCACCTTCAAAGTGGCTGTGCAGTCAGATACAAATATGGATAACATCTTTAAACAGTTGTTTATGAAGTAAACCCCTGATGATCCATTTGCTCAGAAACATATCTGCCGTAATCAAACAAAAGATGAACACAAACAAAAATTGAGCAGATAAGATTTATTCTGGCTTCACGCTGCTATAGTTCTCGTCACACTTTAGTTTAATGTCCTCTGAAGAGAAGTGCCTGGAAGTCAAATACTCACACAGTGCATCTCACTGGCAGAGTAACAGCAATGAATTGTATCGTCTCAAGGAATTATCAACAATGATCAACTAATTGGGAAAACCAAGGTCCATGGAAACCATGTTATGCTGAGATATCAATATATTCACTATTTGATTAAATGATCTGAGTCATAAGTCTGTAAATAAAAAGAAGGTGGTGTGTTTTGAGCAAACAGGGATGTAAAGTTTTAAAAGGAAGTGCGTGCATCTGGTCATGCATGTCTGTAGAGAAGTTAATACTAATCTTTTTTTTGTTAAACAGCCTCTCTGCAGAGCATGACAGACGCCTCTTGACCAACTTGAACCCAGGAAAAAAGCACAGGTATTTAAGCAAGAAGCAAATACTTGATAACACACCCGCATTAGGAAGAACTTTCCCTTTTACTTCCTTCTGAGAAGGAAGTAAAAGATACGTGTCAAAACAAAACCCGACTTATTGACTGATCATTTGCAGTAAATGCATAGCCTCCCCGTCAGAAGTTATAGACACAAAGCGGCAGCTATAAAGTCTCCATTATGCAACAATAAGGAGATCCCCGATGTTCTGTATATAAAGGGTTGTATATTGTAAGAAGAACTGTGTATTGTTCTTTGTGAAAGTTGTATAAAGTGATGAAACAAAGTAGAAGTAAAGTGGTAAATCACAAGAGGCTATTTATGCAGCTTTCTCTCCAACTACTGGTACCATTCAGGATTCCACAGGTGGATACCTCGACAACGTAACAGTGCCTGTAACCTTTTAATCCTCGCCCAGCATTACCAAGCTTAACTTAGGATGGTTGTTTTTAAAAATGGTACAGTTGGAAACTCCTGCACTGTAGTCCAACGTTAAGCGACATGAAGGTCAAGATCAATGTCTTTGAAACGCTGGAAACGGCGTCTCCTCATCTTGTACGTCCGCATTATTGTGTCATCCACCGACAGCCCAAAACACAAAAGATCTTTCAGTCGTCCACATGGCTTTTTCTGCCATCTGGCCGACTTACAGCGGCGGCCTTTTGACGCGACACTTAGCGACGCGATACGGTGTACACAACACCGCTCACCTCTTTAGTCTCACAACCGGTGTTATCAATGAAAACCAAGCCTTTGTTGCGGTTACACACAACTTTTAAGTGGACAGCTCCACGGGCTTTTGCCAGAGTCAACAGGATTATGGGGATTTAGATGGAGGGCAAAACAGCGGAAAAAATGTCCAACAAGCGGAGGGCTCCATATGCACCGTCTAGCAGTGTGTATGTGTTGAACGCTGTTATCTCACACCCTCACCACTACACCTAAGGGCACATGCCAGTCGCTCATAGTGAGTTTGTGCTGGAAGCAGAAGAGTTCACAGGGGCAGTGGAAGGATGAAGGCAAGTTAGCAATAAATGGCAAAAATCTAATATAAAAATCTTTGCAGGAGGGGGGGGGGGCACTGAAGTGATTTTTTAAATCACAACGGTGGCTCTAGCCTCATCATACAGCAGAGTCTGTCCTCTCACTCAACCATACACGACTGTTTACACTTCAGATCTTCTGCAGAGATACAGTTGGATGAGAAAGAAGCCGGAGTCTGTCTGTCTGTCTGTGTGTTAAGGGGGGCACTTATAGTGAACCTCGGCTCAGTTCAAAACCCGTGTCTGTGTTTGGTTCCACTTCTGTCCCCGCCTGCCAGTCTGATTCTATGGATGAACCACAACATCGGTCGCATTTATAATGAGAGCTGCCATGTTTGAACCATACACAAATAAAAATGCTACAGGGTAGATTGCGGTCATTCATTTAAGACCACGTACATTTTGGAAATGGGTCTTTAAGGAACAGGCTAGATCTGCAACGTCGACTGCTGCTGACATTTACGTCAGCACAAAATTCTTACCACTGCTGTTCTGACTTTTACGACACTCGTAACGCTTAATTAAGCTGCGAATAGTTGGTTGTTATCAGAAAAACTAATTGTCTACTGGTCTGACTGGTTCTCCATCACCTTATATGAAGATATTTGTAATAATTGGAAAAGGATGTTCTCGTGTGGCTGATGCTAAACTGTTCCATGCTCTGAGGCCTCTACATCCTGTTTGTGAGAAGAAAAAAAAAAAAAAAAATACACGTGCGTGCAACTGAATAATGCTGAGTGAACAATCATGTCACAACAACAGACTGCAACAGCTGCTGTATATAAAAAAAGAAACAGGTGTAAATTGCTCATGACAGCCCTGATGACGAATGTACAGTCTCATCTGACAAATACACCTAGAAGCAACCAGTTCTCCCCGAGGGTCGTTTTCCTCCCACAACTGCTGCAGCCAAGCAATTGCACACAAGAGATTCTTTCTCTGCGTCTCTTCCGCTCAACCACTGTCCTCGGGTTCCCCCCCCCAAAAAACTATTTCGGCAAGCATTTCTGTGTACTCGTGTTATCCGCTGCCGTACCAGTTCCCCTTCTCTAAAAAGGGTGTTGCTCAAAATTATGCTCCCACTGCAAAAAGTCACCATAGGGATTCTGTTCTGTGCTTCCACAGAACGAGCCTGTTGCATAACCGGAGCTTGTCTGCTAGAAAAGCTAAAGCTTCCTTATGGTGTCTGAACACCACTTTACCATATCTTATTTGATCACGCTTTATCCATTTCAGGTGAGGTCTGTCACAATAATTAATATATAGACTTATCATACAATATATGGACATGATCTCAAACATTTTTGTACAAGCCAGAGAGTCAATTCTATTTATTTAAGATATTTTAAGCTTTTTTTAACATTCAAAATCCAATGTCTGAACTCACTTAAGAATAAAAAGTGAATTGCTGATTTTAAAAAAGGGTGTACTTGCGTGTTAAGTCCAACAAAATGCATTCTCATGACAGGCCTTTATCATTACAATTACCAGCTCAAACTCTTGATTCGCATTTATATACCTTCGTTCAGGTATGTGGTTCTGCCGTCGTCGGCACATGCCCCGCAAATCCCTGCCTATTCCCTCCATCTCAAAAACACATGTAGAGACCTTAATGGTTACCTCCACCAGCAGTAAAGCAGAGAGCAAACACTCTCCCACAATGCCAGTTTCCAGGCTGGGCCATTTGAAGGTGAACTCCAGCTTTGTGATAATTGTACGTCTTGCAAAAGGCTTTTAACCCGATTGTAATGTTGAAGACTTATTTAATTACCCACCCATAAGGTTTGTGTGGTGGCACAGAGCATTCATTGAGGCTTAAAGAGAAAACACAGATCCCCGTACAATTATACGGCTCATTTACTGAAAGTTCAATGCTTTCCCCATCTCTGTAACCACATTTATAAAAACAAAATTAAAAATTAAATAAAAAGCCTCCTCCTTCTGGAGACATATGGGTTAAAACTGACCTATATCTAAAGACTCTTTCGATATTATAATTCCTCCTGTTCTAGAAAGCGATCTTTGGATTAATGGTTGTATCCTAAGCTTCTATACGAGGAGAGACATCTGGTGTGTTTTCCTACAGCAGAAGGAAGACTCCCGAGACTGACAACAATAAATGTCCATTTGGCATTCATGTAATGCTTCTGGGAGATCGTGCTTCACCACTTCAGTTCACCATTATTTGCGATCCTTACTTGTTCCACCCATTACTGTGGTTGTATTAGGATCACTTGTTGTTGCAATCAAGCTTGTGCAACATTGGAATTTTGTTTCTCATCTACTTCTTTGTTCCTCATCGACCAGATTTTTTTTATGTTCTGAGAATCCCCTCTTCCAAATCCCACCAAGTACAGTGTTAATCATCAAGGTGAGGGATAATACCCCTGTTGTATTTACTTTACACACTTTAAACTAATCCAGTGTCATTTTCAGATTACTACTCGACGTATTCTCGGTCCCGCGTTCTACTAATTCTGTTGAGTGGACGTTTCTTTTGCATTTCTTTTTTTGCTTTCTTGGCTGCCACCCTGACCTACCTCCTTTAACCTGGCTGCGATTTGCAGAGTGCTGCTGGACCTCACACCCAACACCTCGAGAGGGTTATAACCATTACTAAATATAATCTGCACACTGGCTTGCTCCCAACCTCTCAGAACTCACTGAGAGGTTTGAGGATGTTTGCAGTGGACTCGTCTGTGTAGTCGCCGTCCGACTTGTATCCCTCAGCTCGTTCCCGCTTCTCCTTGTGGCTGGACTTGCGTCTGTGGCGTCTCCTCCGGTGGTAGCTCTTGGGGACATGCACGCCAATGTACACAGTGTGGTGACCTGCCGCGAACAACAATACAATAGAGAAAGGAATGCAGGTCAGATTACACTCACAAGGAAATCACAGTGGTGTGAAATGTTTTCTTATCACAAGGCTACTTTGACGTTTTATTTTTTTAGGTATTGTGCTGAGGGTTGTTGCTCATTTCTTAATCCGGAAGAGATAGTCAAATTGTGAAATCAAATAAATGCCAACTACTTCCTACACAGCAGCTCATACAGGAAATGATGCCGCCAGGAAGTAATCAGAGAAACATCCAGAGAGGGAAAGAGACAACTCTTACAGATTAACCGACAGTCAACCTTGCATTCCATAAAAATGCGTCTTGTAGTGTTTTAATGATATCTTCCCCCACCATCACGTGGTCGGTCTTGTTTCCTCGCAGAAGCCAAAGACCACCTGAGGCGCACACTAAACAACACACTTCCGCCACATTCCCATGCAGAGGAAGCGACAGGATCTCGCAACTGCAACTGCACGAACACAAAACGGCTTGACATAATGCCAAAAAACTATGACGCGGTTCCCTTTGTGTGCGCCCTTAAGTGAACATGTCAGTAAATGCCCGTGGGCCACTCGTAAATTGTCATAACAGGATTAGAGCACTTGAATAAACATCTTCCTGTTCCAAGTGGAAGTTTTTAATCTTAAATGTCATATTCTGTGCTGGTACGACAGGGACAACTACAGTTTTCACCTGCAGACAGTATGTGTGGAAAGACCCGGATGACAGCTAGATATTCATCACTGATCTTACCTTCCACTTCCCCTTCATCGCAGACATGTTTGACAAAGGAAGCTCCTCTGTCCAAGACGGCCTCGTCCTCCACTCTACAAGGCAAACACAAGAAAAGTTATTGTACATGGATCACCACTCAGGACGGCATGTAAATACACAAGTCAAACAAAACAGTCTGCCACAATTAGTTCTTCACCATCATTGAAACACTGAAATACACTTAATGTTTTGAATCATCAAAAAAAACAAAAAAAACAATGAATAACAAGGCTTCATGGTCAGTTAACCTGGCAAGCTTTAAAGTGCATCAGCATTTGTGACGTTGTGGTAATCAAATGAGACCAAAATGTCACCTTCCCCTTTACCCACAATGCTGCACACAACATGAGGATGTGCACATTTGTCCTCTTTTCTTTTCGTCAGTGACTTGATGTGTAAATTTAAACTGCACGGCACTTTTATCACAGTAAGACTACACCGCATAGTGACAGTCATACCGGACCTTACAGTGCACACGCGAGGCCAGAGACATCTTCTTAGGATACTTAACCTTTCACTTTTCTTTGATCATCAATAGTACACCTTCCTGGAAGGTTGGAAGGAATGTGGCTCCTCCAGTCGGAGCACAGTGTGGACTCTTCCAGGTAATGAAAGGTGGTTTAAGCAAACCCCAACCTCAGGATACCCCTTTTGCCAAAACCGCTACGGAGGGCAACAACTACAAAAAAGTAAAACAACGGAGGCCAATTTATCACTGCGCTAGAAATATGCATTGAGGCCTTATCTCAAATGAGCCAATCTATTCCTTCAAACTGTTCAGGGACTCCATAAGCGTGTCAGTGGATAATTAGGAACTCATCTGCTGTGGCTAATCTGACCAACTGCCTTATGAAAACAGTTTTGTTAAACAACAAAAAGTAAAATTTCAGATGTGCATCAGGCATGTCAATAAACATGTGAACAGTTTCCACTGAGAAATCCCCATCTGGGATGATACAAGTCAAAGAATTGAGAGGATGGGAGCAGTGTACATAAGCCACTAAATAAACAAAGTCAGGAAGGATGCAACTTGTTCCTCCGAGTGCATCGCGAGCTCTTCTGGATGTCCCCTGTGGATATGGTATCTGTCCTTGAGAGAGATACAAGCATAACGCTGATCGCAGACGTCATGTTGATCCACCAGCTCCCGAGATCAAACAAGTGATGAAGAGGAGGAGTGGCCGGACTCTGTGCCAAGTTTACAAGCTGTGCTAGTAGTGATTGGCCTCTGCAGCCTCCTACTGAAGGGTCAGTTCATCCCAAAGTCTGAGATACATATTTGTCCTTTTATATGTAGGGCTGTTTATAAATCTAGTTTTGGAGATGTCGCTCGTAGAGATGTCTGCCTTCTATACAATACGTCAGCTTGTGGTGCTCAAAAGGACAAAAAATAAATAAAAAAATTCATATATAAAAAAACACAAAAAAAAACACCAAAACAATCTGGAATGGAACTAATAGTGCTATAGGTAGGAGTAAAATATGGGATTTTGGAGTTAACTGTCCCTTTAACCAGTTATCTTAATACGCCTTAGAATTAAGAATGTGGTCTGTAAACGGAGACATTAATAACTTAACGGCTGGAGCTACTCTAATTTATTCTGCACATACACAGGATCTTTCCAGGAACACAGCTGCAGCATTTACATCTGCAACAGGTAGTCAGCAGCGGTGTGTGTGCGTGTGTGCGTGCAAGCATGGAGGAGGGGTCATGTAACACAGTGAAAACCGTTGGCCACACAGGAGAGCAAAAAGGAAGCTCATGTTGCAGGTTTACTGCGAGCTTTAGCCCATGGAGCCACGTTAATCACTCCACGCCGAGGCCTCAGACGGGGAGACCCCCATGATGAGAAACATACCACAGGTGGCGCGCAGACACACAGGATGCAGGAGAAGATTACCGTTTTCAATTGAAAGCTGAATCTAACACACTGGGCGTGTTAAGTGGAACGAAATGTAGGCGAAAGAAGGAGGCGATGTCGGGAGCTTTGAGGGGAAGAAACTTAAATCTGCTCATCGGCATTCGTCAGTAAAGTCTAAATGACTTAATATCAAAGTTAAAAACTCAGGTGGCAGAAAGCATAATGGAGGCTAAACGTCTTGTGTATGCAAAATCACAACGCAGATAAAGAGCCTGTGTCTCCTCAGTCACGTCGTAAACAGGAAATCTTCTTGATCTTCTTTTCATTTCCTGCCATGACTTCCTCTGCCTGCTTAATAAATAATCAAAAGCTGGGTGAGGGTCGGGGCAACCGGCTGCATTGATCTCGCAACTTCTCACTTCGCTCCCGTTCTCGGTGACCTCATGGAGGCTGGATAAACCTGTCGGTGCGTGAGGAGCCGGGGGATCAGCTGCTCGGGATCAGGGATCATCCCCATCTCTTTACAGAGTGACGCACCCAATCCCACTGGGCAGGTTCACCAGCAGGGTGGGTGGCCCCAGCACACTTGAGGAAAGCACACACACCGTTGTCATAGCGAATAGGTGAGCAATCACTTAGTGATTTCTTATTTTAGGGCTGCAACCAATAACAATTTTCCTGAGCATCTATGTCCATCTTCCCAAGAGTCCAAAGTGATACCTCGAGGTCTTTAGTCTTGTTCTGTCCGACCAACAAACCAAAACTGTGGAACTGTATTTTATGGAATATTAAAATAAAGGATGTGGCGGGAGTTTATAGATTTACAAATCCAAAAACTCTCAGTGAGTAGAGGTGACAAAGGACACATGTCTGAACACACCTGTGCTCAGGTGATCGTGGCCCTAATTGAACCGTCGTCCACTCCCTGCTTCTCAGGTCTGTCTGGACTTTTGGAATTTCCTGTAAGCAACAAGGAAATGGATTGCCCTTCATTTGGACACAAAGCATCACTCAGCGGAGCACAAAAGAGCATTCATGCCAGGAGCAAGAGTCACCGAACAAAAGGATGGGACAAAGTAAAGAGAACACTTCTTCCATTACAAAATATTTCACAATCTAAACAATTTACACAGAACAATGAGGAATCCTCTTGTGATGGTCACAGTGTCTGCACCCACATCTGTTGTCTTGGTTTCACTTCTTGCTACTCATTTAGCAACACTTAAGAGTACATATTCTGCGGGAGGGGGTGCAACATATTCTGCTGCAGCTGATAAACTACAGATTCATGTCAGAAAAAAAAAAGTTCCTGCAGACAGGACGTGCGTTGTTTCCGTGAAAGGCAATATAACCGTCATGTCTTCATTTGTCGCGTTATTGCGCAACGTAGACACACACGCTGGCCCCGCGCCGAAAGCAGATTTCTGAGGGGTGTCAGCTCATGGACCACATGGTACGGGAGACGCGCGCACACATACGCAGCTTTAAATCACAAAAGTTGCACCGGAGACAACTCTCCACCACTTGGCCTGCGCTCCCCGCGTCTCTCTAATTGAGAGCGACAAGGTTCTTGGAAGAATAGATTAGGCCAACAGGTTCACAGCCGCAGCGGTGCGGGAACAGTGGCTTATCCAGCCAAGGGGTGTAACTAGTCTCATTGAAATAATGTAACTCAAGTTACACAATCGATAGCACATTGACGTTTTACTAGTTATGGCAGCTGTGGCTAACTAAAGCCAGATGAGCCACTGAAAGATTTACGCACAGGGTCGCCAAATGACTATGGGACATATTAGCTGGTGAATCATACTCACCTGATACCTAATATACACTTTCACACCTGGCCAGGAAATGCCCTGAACGACGCCTATGGACTGAAACGGTACAGTTCCCAACAGTCAGATGTAACAAAGAGCAAAAACTTACTTCTTTTCGGAACTCATGGTGGCAAACTTCGCCTTTAACGCCGATCAGTCCGGGCGTTATTGGAGTAGCTCTTGGAATCAGCGTTGGGAAATCTTCACCTACTCTAGACGTCGCGCTTTTCACGTGGATAAAAAAAAAAAAAGTAAGAAAGAAGTCGAGGAGCGCGGAGCTATCTCGCTGGAATGATTTCACCGACTCTACAAACCGAGTTAAACTTGTAACAAACGCTCATGTCGCGCGGGACCTGTTCAGGTCGTGTCCAGGTGTCATCTTAAAGAGCGAGAGGCTCGTGTTGTCTCGCTGCTTCTGGAAAGAGTGCGGAGAGACTCTGTGAGCGCAGCGTGTCTGTTTCCATATTTAAAGAGCCATCCCTCCTCCTGCCGTGACGCCACCGGGGGGTGTGTGTGTGTGTGTGTGTGTGTGTGTGGGGGGGGGTCAGCAATTTGCTCTGCGTAGCGCACCGAACATTCACAATCAATGTCTATTATTTACTTTGTATCTAATAGAGGCGCATTATAAGTCACCAGATTTATTCAATAATCATCAAAACATTGAAGTTTGAAGCACTTTTTTGGATTTTGAATGTAGGATTTCATGGAATCCCAACAGCTTGGATCACTTCTACAAAGATTACACTTTAAAATCAGTCGCTTTAGAATTCAATACCTTGTGTGTTGATTTCATACTTTTGTTCGACACACATTTTAAATATGACTTAACTACAGTCAGTGCTGATTTTAAACATTTTTTCAAGTCGAGGGGTTTAACTTAGCAACACATGCTGAGATATATATATATAGATATATATATATATAGATATATATCTATATATATATATAGATATATATAGATATATA